ATGTCCTACTTTGCCTCCTTTTGACTCATGTCACTGAGGGCTGTAGAGTAGGATTTTTAAAAGATGAAACTTTGAGTTTCTGAATAAACACATTTGGAAAATGAATGCCATGTTAATTGCGCTCTGGACTGTGTAAAACTTCTCAATATTTTTCTAGGAACAAGGAAAAAAAGATACATAATGTTCTTAAAATTAATATTGTATGATCACAAAAGAATACATGTGTGTTTGTTATTGTATTAATATATTAATGACTCTGCCCAGAACGGGACAGAGTAAATTGAAAGCGCTGTTCCACATATTTTTACTGAGTATTTATCATTATTTAGAAATAAGTTTTATACATGTTTAAAATTTTATTATACAATTTTTATCATATTTGATTGATACTCTAAACCATGGTCCCCAATCTTTCGGGCTTCATGGACTGGCAGCAGCAGGGGAGGGAGGATGGTTTTGCACACGCAACCTGGTTCCCACACATGTGTAATGAAGCTTCACAGTTCACACGCTCCTACACCACTTGCAAGGCCTAGTTCCCAACAATACATAGACTAGGAATTGGGGATCCCTGTTGTAAACAATGAGTGATTAAAAATGGTTGAAACTAATAAAGTTCCTGGTGGCAACAAAAGCAAATTACAGGTAGTATGCTTTACGTCAAGCTCATAGTTAAGAATAACGCATAGCAATTTTTCCAAGCTGAGTTTTTTGTTTCACATCTATATACAAAACATTGCCAGACTGAAGACTCTATTTACATCCATGATATACTCTGTGAACCATTAAGGAGGGCTTTCTTCACTCTCGTCATTTCACGTATATCTAGGCTGAGTTGCTGCTTATTCCTTTATTCTAACTTTATTCTCTCTCCCTCCCTACTGGGGATTCATCTCCTCGCTACATCCCATCCAGTTTTCCTGTCATATGGGCACTTAAAAATATAATAAGAGTGACTTTAAAGCTTGTTAGCTCTCCATGTTAGTATTCCTCCACTTACTTGTTTTTCACACAGGAGCCAAATGTACAGATCATGAAATTAAAATGTAAATTGAAGAGTCGGCTGGTAATATATTATTGTTTATGTGGATCAAGATGACATTTGTTATAATAAGAGAACTGCTGTGGCTGGTAGGACACAGCAATATTCTTTGTTTTTGGGTTGGGTGGAGAACAACACTGATTAATCATAATCATCTCTGGAGATTCTCCCATTGAAGGCCACAGAAATGAAATTTAACTTTAGAGGGATTATAGAGTGGAAATGTTTGTGTGTGTGTGTGTGTATAGATATTTAGGATACAATAATCCATTCCTGATAGGGCAGTTAGATTATACAAAGTAAAAGAAAAACAAGAAAGGTATTGAAGAAAAAGCATCAAGAGATAAATACTGTAAGAAAAATGGTGTGTTTTTGTATACAGATTGTACTTTCCAAAATTATAATTCAACATACTTTGGGTGGATGATCTTTAGTATTTATTTTTATACAGGTCACTCTCCAGAGCAAGTAGCTGGTCACCATTTATACTTGATGGGTGCAAAGCCAGCAACAGGTTGGAACGGGCGATATGGTTATCGCCGCAACACTCCTGATCTTCGCACACGCTCTTCTTGCTTTGGTGAAGTAACATGGTTCCCCATCCATTGAAGAACATCAGATTATATCAATCTGTCTCTTCTTCTAACTTAAATGCTATTCATGTGTTTTCTTTGTTCTTGATTTTTCCAAAATAATAAAAAACTTTTAATTTCTTATTTAACAGTTTGTTGCTTGTGGGGAAGGGAAATTCTGGCAAAAGATTACATTAGGACAGCATTGTTCTAACATGGCATTGCAGATATGATGCTTCGGGAGAGGATGAAAGCTGTACTCCAGTTGGGGAAGGAAAAAAGTGGTAAACCAATGTTGGAAGAAATGTCCATCTGGGTTCAATTCCAAGTGAAGAGAAAGACGCTGGAAACATGGAGACTATTTGGAAGGATGGTTTAATGTATCCTATTGGTTGTCAGACTCCCAGGGGGGATATGCGGGGGTCCAGATAACCTTGTAGGCTGTCTGTGTCCCAGGCTTGGTTGAATCTTGCTGGGTGATGATGTAGTGAAGAGGTTTGTGTTCTGAAAGGTTTATGTTCTGAAAGCAATTATCTCTATAATGTATAATATAATATAATGTGTAATGTATCTCTGGACACCTGCATAACTGGATAGAAGCATTCCTGTCAAACAGACAACAAATGTTCAAAATTGGGAGCGTCCTATCAAATTCTGTACCTGTCAACAGTGGTGTCCCCCAAGGCAGTGTTCTAGGACCAACTCTCTTCATACTCTACATAAATGACCTCTGTGATCATATTAAGAGCAACTGTGTTCTCTTCGCTGACAATGTAAAGCTATTCAACACCACAGACAATACTGCCACCCTTCAAAAAGACGTCGACTATGTATCAGAATACATAAGTTGCCAATGGTCAAACAAATGGCAACTTCAAATCTCAACAAACAAATGCTCTGTCTTACATATTGGCAAAAAAAATCAGAAAATAAAATACAGGCTGAATAGTCAAGACCTTGTTGATGATCCAAACTCTTTCAAGGACCTTGGAATACTCATCTCTAATGATCTAAGTGCTAGAGCCCACTGTAACCATAGCCAAAAAGGCATTAAGAGTTGTTAACCTAATCTTATGTAGCTTTTTCTCTGGTAATATTACACTACTAACTAGAGCATACAAAACATTTGCTAGACCAATACTCGAATACAGTTCATCAGTCTGGAACCCACATTACATATCTGATATTAGCACAATTGAGAAAGTCCAGAAATATTTCACAAGAAGAGTTCTCCACTCCTCTACTCGTTGCAGAATACCTTATGCCACCAGACTTGAAATTCTAGACCTAGAAAACCTAAAACTACACCACCTTCAGTCCGATCTAAGTATAGTTATATAAAATCATACACTGCAACGTCCTACCTGTCAATGAATACTTCAGCTTCAACCATAACAATACAACAGCAAACAATAGATACAAACTCAAGGTTAACCGCACCAAACTTGATTGCAGGAAATACGACTTTAGCAACAGAGTGGTCAATGTCTGGAATACTCTACCTGACTGGTTTCTTCCCCAAAGCCCCAAAACTTTAACCTTAGACTTTCTACTATTGACCTCGCCCCTTTCCTAAGAGGTCTGTAGGGGGTATTCATAAGCGCACCAATGTGCCTACCGTCCCTGTCCTATTGTTTCTTTTATTTTTATTTTTTATTTTTCTTATATGTATGTATTTATAACTATGTTTTTACTTATACTTATTATCTTGTAAGCAACTGACAAACCAAATAAAATAAAAATAACTATGTTTATACTTATACCTGTTATAATCGCTTGACAAAATAAATAAATAAAAATAAATAAATATATACACAAAGACAAGAGAAACAAAACAGAAAAGGAAAACAGAACTCTCAGGTTTACACATACTGGTCATTCCCACCATAAATCTCAGTTAAAGTAGGGAAGGAACAAATCTTAAACATATATAACATGGTTGCATGGAAGACAGAGAGCAAGAGAAATAATCAAACAGGCAAAACAAAAAAAACCAAAATTCCTATTTATATATTTCCCTTTTCTTTTAAGTACCTTTATTTAGCCAAATTGGTTTTCCAGCTTTGTCTCATTCCTAAGGCCATTCTTTACACAATTTGCTCACATCTTCCTCTTACCAGCCAGGACAGGCCTCTGCTGTTCATCCTAAGCAAATCTCCTAGGAGGTTTCTGTCACAACCCTTGAGCTACAGCTTCCCATGTTCCCTCTCAGATGTGAGGTTCACTTTGGCCACAGCCATCAGTTTTCAGATAAAAAAAAGTATGAGGAGACTCTGTTCCCTCACAGAGTATGGCAACCTCCTTTCCAGGAAGCTATTAACAATGGTGGCGACTGCTTTCCAAGAGCATGTTTCTCCTTTTCTCATCCAGGGAGGTATGCTATTCTGCCTTTTTAATATTTCCTAGAATATTTCATTCTTCTAGGAGAGGTATGTATGCTAACCTTCTACACCAACATTCTGCTTGTGACAAAAGTGGCTTAATTGTATATTTTGTGCTTTGGAACTTTTGTTTTTAGGCCAGAAAATGTGTTCAGATTTTATAGCATATAACTGTACGCTACTTTGGGTTTCAACAAGCATTGAACAGCAAATCTGAATATTTTTAATTAACTCTCTATCTGATTTCCATTCCTGTCATTTCTATTCCTTGCATATGAACTCTGATAGAAAAAAAAATATATGTACTAGAGTGACCAGTATTGGAAGAAAAATCTGGGCTGGTTCCAAGCCTGGAGAAAGATGCTGAAAATAAAATGGAGGCTGGCTGTAGGAAAGAAAGTGTCTTGTTTATTTGAATGACAGAAATTTCAGTGATAGCAGAATGTTTCTGGACTGGCTGACTAAATGGGGTTGAGATTGGTGGGCTTTTATACATTCTTTGGACTTTGTGGTTGAGATGTCTGTTCCTATGTAAGAATGTGTTCTTTAATATTTTAATGGCTGCTGCCAGATTCCCATGGGGTCATGTAAGGGCTCTACAAGCAAAAGAGCTAATCTTGTCAGTTTGCCCAATTGTATTCCTTATTTGGAGACTCTTTGCTTATGAATAGATTGGCCCAGTCTTTCTGAATGGATACAAAATCTCTGCTTGAGGCTGTTTTCCTATGGTAGGAAAACTGGGGCTGCTTTCTGCCTGTGTTGGGATTTTTCTCCATTTCTCCTTTGGGGAAAATATTCTATCCTGTCTCTTTTTAATATTTAGAATTAAGAATATCTAAATTGACATATCAGGATTATTTATTGTAATTAATATCAATTTTGCCCACAAGAGGAAAAAAAAACCCTGCAGATTCGACAGCGGAAGCTTTATACATAAGCGAACCATTTTAAAATCCATCACTTCCGCTTTGGGAGGAGCGACGTTTGAGAGCGGTAAAAATATATCGTCATCACTCTGCGCCGGTCTAAAGTCAGCAGCCCAAGAAGGAGAGGATCTGTGTTGCGGCGGCGGCGGCTGCAAAGGAGACTGAGCTGCCGCCATGGGCGGAGGCGATCTGGTGAGGCAAAAGGATGGGATGGAGAGAAGCCGGGGTAGAGGGCGGGGGAGGGGCGAGGAGAGATCGGGAATTGCCTCGAATTTGAGTTAATCGAAACTAAGAGCCGATTTCTTAACTGCATCCCGGGTTCACTTACTATATGCACATCTGGATGAAAATATAGGGATATTTCGTATAATTATATGCTATATTATTTTATAATTGTATTATTGAAATGTAAGGATATATTTAAGGGTGGAGAGACTTGATCCGGTGTGGGGGGAAAAGGCTTAATTGGATTTCAGAGTTACGGAAAGCAGTTCAGAAGAAATGGGGTGGGGCATACCTTCTTCAATTTAATCACTTGCTAGAGGTAAAGAGCATCTTTATAGCAACCTGAGTGGCTTATCACTAAGTCATTATCTAGTTTGTCTAGTTTATCCGGGTGTGATACCTTAGCTGTTTCATGTATCACCAAATTCATAATCTGTTTTTCTTTAACAACTTATATCTTAGCCATGGTTTATGGTTTAATTTATGCGGAGTGCCCAGTTAGTATTCAAATGGTATATTCAACCATTTCTAAGAAAAGCATAACTTTCTATGATGTGTGAAACATGCTCTTAATGAACAGATTAAGAGATGGTGGAAATCTCATTTGGAGTGGAGGAAAAAATTGAATAGCTCCATAGTCCAAATCTTGTAATGTGCTATTCTAAATCAATGATATGAAATTGACTGTTGAAGCAAGCTGTATGTGTTGTGGAGTGGTTAGCTGCCATTCTGTTATAGAACATTTACTGTAACGTATAAATTGAGGGAACTATTTGAATAGAAATATGAATGTGGAGCAAGCACTTCTATGTACTCAGTTTTAGTTCACTGAGGTTTGCATTCAAATGTTTTTCTGGTTGATATTTGATATTTGGTACAGCTTTTGTAGAGGAAATTTTCAGATTAAATCAAGGTAAATTTAAATGCGTAATCTTGTCTATAGAATCTTAAAAAAAGCTGGCACCCACAAACCCTCCGTAATGTGGAAAAAGTTTGGAAAGCGGAACAAAAGCATGAAGCCGAACGGAAGAAAATTGAAGAGCTACAACGGGAATTGCATGAAGAGCGAGCACGAGAAGAAATGCAGCGTTATGCAGAAGATGTAGGCGCTGTCAAGTATGTTGAGTTGGATTTACTGGTTTGTAAACATAAAATTGTAGCATAGGAAAGAACTAGTTAGGCTATAAATTCTCTACACTAATTCATATTAAAGTATCCCTGACAGAGACTGTTTAGTCTCTATTTAAAGAATTGAAGCAAAGAGAAAACATCACACATTTGCATAATTGATTCCATTGTTGGACTGGCTTTATTACAATATTAATTTACTTTGAATGTTCAGTTTGGAGATTTAAACATTGACCTTATTGTACAATTATATTACTTAAAATTTGATAGCATTCTTAGCAGCCAAATTGGTGAACTTCTCTAATTCAAGAATTAAAAGGGGGATGGTTACAGAAACAAAATCCTCACTTGGAAATCTAATGCTTCTTAATAAATAGTTTTAATTCAATTTAGAAAAATGTGTTTAATATTAAATTCACTTTGATAAAACTATGGAGATCATTGGAAAAATAAAATGTACCCCTTCCTCTAACAATTGTATTTCACTTCTATCAGCCTTGTGGAAATTATGATCTTAATAAGTATCAGTATGTGTTCATGAGCCTTTTGTTTTCTCTCATCCAAGAATTCAAAAATTTTATTTCCTGCATTTAGCATTCCCCCAACCCATCCCAAGGCCTAGATAAATCCACATGTGTAATGTGTTATCCTCTTTGTAACCTCAGCCCTCAAGAAATGTTAAATATTTTGCTGCTTTACATATTAAAGTCATACCTCTTTTTGCATCAACTTTTCTTTTATATATATTCTTCCAAATAAATTAGAAAAAAAGATGAGAAGTTGGAATGGATGTACCAAGGACCAGGTGGCATGGTGAACAGAGATGAATACCTTATGGGGCGTCCAGTTGACAAGTATGTCTTTGAGACAACAGAGGACAAGGAGGCCGGCTGTTCTTCTGAGACTGGCCTTCTGCCAGGCTCTATCTTTGCCTCCACGGGTGCCAATTCTGCCTTGGATATGGCTAGCAAGATTCGGGAAGATCCTCTTTTTATGATAAGGTAATTAGTATTGTTTTCAGTATGAAAAAAGGGGCAGAAAGTATATAAATAAAATAATCAGTGCATGGTTGATGAGTAAGTGAGGTGATGGCCAGGATGATTCATAAAATGAAAGCATTGAAGTATCCCTGATATTAACATTTTACAAATCTAAATTATTTCCATTAATGTCTATAGTGCTTCTCTCTGATATTTTCGTACTCAATTTGATGAGAGATGCTTAATCCTATAGATTGAATATTGGGATGTTTCAGATGTTGTAACTATATTAGAAAACCTGTGTGTTCACTCGTCTTATACAAGATAATCTAAATCCTAAGGTAATCAGTAAAAGCAAAATAAATAAAGCCAACCAAATTTTGATAGAAAATAGAATCCTATACTTATAGAAGATAGAATCCAATCCCTATGGAAGACCATAGGTGTCACCCTCTAATCACAAATTGGATTATAATATTGAAGTAGAATATCTGAGAATTTCACGTGAATATTACTTAATAAATTAATATTTTGTCTGTATAGGAAGAGGGAGGAAGAGAAGAAACGTGATGTTCTGAACAATCCTGTAAAAATGAAGAAGATCAAAGAACTGGTATGCTAATGCTGGATGCTCTGTGAATGTATACAATCAAATGGTTTTGAATTCCAGGATGACAATCCTACATATATTGAGCAAAATTCAGTGGTGCTTTTTTCCAGTTTGATGTAATTGTTAAGATGTTGGCATGGAATTTGGAAGACCGAGTTTCAGTTCTGCCATGGGCATAGAAAATTGGCTGCCTAACTTTGGGCCAGTCATTCTCTTTCAATCCAACTCATCTCACAAGGTTCTTGTTACAGAGAAAATAGGAGAAGGCAGGAGTATTAAGTATGTTTACCATTTGAATGGTATATAAAAAAGGTGGATAAAAGTAAAAATAACAAGATAGATATAACTTACCAATATCAAATTATTATGGACAGAACTGAGAGTTTATCTTTTTTTGAGCTGGAGAAAAAGTAATTCCAACGCTATATAGACAGTGTGAAGTTTAATTTAGTCTCCGCTGATCTTGGTTTAGAGAGAAAGAATAATGTGCAGGAATAATGACTCAACTAAACAGATACCCAATCCAATCCAAAGTCTTTTAATAGTAGTATTTACAACAAAATTTTTTAGAAATTAGTACAAACTTGGAATTAGTTTTTTTTCAAACTTATACAAGATTGTAGCTGGAGTAAGATTTCTAAGTAATACTACTGAAGATATGAAATTATTCCAAATATAATTAATGTAGAATAATTGCTATAAATCTTCACTCTTCTTAATGGCAACCAAAATGTTCATCAACATCTTCATGAAAAGTATCAGAAAAAAATTGAAAAGAATATTGAGGAATGATTTTGTAACTGGCCCTTCTGCTATGGCAGCTGTTTTATGAGCATGCTCATAAATATGCTCTCAAAATTGTAATAAGTACCTGTTAGTCCAAAAGGAATTGGGACCATGTTCTATACTCTGGTGATTTTTATGAAACTTGTACTTTTTCAAATGTTTCAGTTGCAAAACAGTTTGGAGAAGAAGAAGAAGAAAAAGAAAGAGAAGAAGAAGAAACACAAGAAACATAGGCACCATAATTCCAGTAGTGGTGAAGATGAAGAGATTAAAACTAAGTATGTTTTGTACACGGTATACATTTATTCATTCAACGTAATTTAGAGGTTGGGTTTGACTACTGTTCATAATTGCAAAGGAAGGAGTGGAACTCAGTCCCCCACAAATACATGCTACTGTTTAAGGGGCTTTGATATTTTAAAGGTGTTACGTGTAGTCTCTGTTTAACAACCATTCATTCAGCAATCATTCAAAATCATGAAGACACTGAACATGTGGTACCTACAACCTGTTCTCAAAGTTCTAGTCATCTTAACCCCCACTCAATCACATGGTCACAATCCATATACTTGGCAACCATCTTGCACTTATAATACTGGGAGTTGCAGTATCCCATGGTCACATGTTTACCACTTGTGACCTTCTTTGCTAGTTTCCCATAAAGTCAGTGGGGAAGCCAGTAGGGAAAGTTGCAAGTCACTCCCGTAACTCATCCCCACCACTTTTTCTCCTGAGGAACCCAACTGTAGAATACAAAAATACTCTATAGCGGGGATACCTTTGCAGCCTATCCCCTGACTTAGTAGCGCAGGCCCACCCAGCTATGCTCATGCTGCAGCAGCCATGTGCCCCTTTCTGCAGCACCATTCCCCTACAGGCTTGCACTGCAGCAGCCACTTACATATCCACTAGCCTGCTTGTTAGCTGCTTAGAACTTGCTACTGGCTTTCCAATTGATTTTACTTTTTGAAAACTGGCAGGAAGTTGCAAGGAAGTCCTCATTTAATAACCCATGATCTTCACTTAACAATGGAAATGGGAACTCAGGATTGCTATTACTAAGTAATGGGTCCCAAGAGGTTGTGCTTTATAATTGCATCACTTAGTGCAGAAATTCCAGTACCTATTATCATTAAGCGAGGACTACCTGTAGCGTGAATGGGCAGTGTATAGAGACCATTGATAGAGATCGTTTATCATGCTTTATATCCCAGAGGTGCCACAAACAACATATTTCTCTTCATATTTGAGCTAGTGTCTATATGCTGGGTTTCTATTCATATGGGCTGGAACTGGCATGTACATTACCTATACATTTAAAATAACAGGGGACTTAGACCTATCACAGTGATGAAGTGATATAATTTAATTTTCTTTTGCTTTAGGTCAAGGGAGAAAGTAGAACATCTTCACCCCAAAAAATTAGGATATGGATTGCAAGTACGTACTGTATTCTGTAGTATTTACTACAATATAAAATAGAAATGCTATTGATTGGGGTCAATTTGACTCAAGTCATAAAGTATGTGAAATCACCTATTGTCATTGAATTCCTTGCTAGTATAGATTAACTACCAATATCTTCATAGTCACAGTTTGGAACATACGTGTGCTGTCAATTGAATATAGCAATATTTATTCCCTAATAAAGCAATATTTTTCCATGCTTAGACTCTTTAAGAACACAGCATTTTTCTCATAATGTTAGATTCCTGATAGTGGCCATGAAAGGATATCCCGTAAACTCCAACAGAGTTTACGATCAGAGCAACAAAGCCATTCTCCTGAAAGGCATGTCAGCAAGAACATAAATCAGGAATCAAGCAGGCATAAGAGATCAAGATCACCTAGAGAGAGTAAACAGTAAGCAAAAATTGGGCAACCAATTCTCCTTTTCTATGATATATGTTATCTTAATTGCTGTGGAATTACTCAAATTTTAAATTGGGAGGTTTTTTCATGCAATAAGATATAAGGACTGAGAACATTATTCTAGTATGTATTGTAATTTTTAATGTAAATGTTTTCAGAATATATAATTCATTGTTTAAAATTAATAACAATTTAATATGGCATGTTGTTCCTCTTGGTCAATCAAAAGAAAAGTGCAGTCACTAGATTGAAAAATATTATGCATTCTGGTAGTATAAGGTGAAAAATTAGTAGCAGAACAGCTTAAACTTAACAATTATTAATCATTCTTATGGAGGAAATAACATTTTTGAATTGCAGGGACAATGGTATGGAACAAAAGGCAAAAACAGAATACAAAAATTTTCATAAGGAACACAAATATAGAAGATCACAGACTTCAAGGTACATGAATGGGTATGACATTGGTGTATTTTCAGTGGGTTGTGGCATAACTTTATAATGTAGGCAGAATATTTTGGAAAAACATGCATGCTATAATGCTTGGCAATTAAAAAGGTTTCAAAAAAGATTCAGCAACTCCCTCTTATTTAAAAAAATCATAATTGCCCATTATTTAAAGACCCCAAATGTCCAACTTTAAAAGATCAATCTCCTCCAATTTGATGGGTGAATGATCTACATTACTAAAGAGACTACTGAGGCTCAATCTCTGCGTGTTTATGGAAATTCTCAGTCATCCAGATCATGGGTGTCTCAAAGGTGCTTTTTTTTTCCAAAGAAAAAACAAGAAAGTCCAGTTGCCTCTTGGGAGGGAAAAAGCACTTCTGGGAGTGTCTCTGTACTTGCTTCTTGCTGATTTCCAGGCACTTTGGCAACTTAAATACTTTTGATGTGCTGGATGCAGTCAGCAATTACATTAGATCTAAGGTATAAATTTGTTTAAGATTCATTTGGCTATTAAGTAATCCCATAATCATAGCTCTAGAGAACCCTATTTCCCTGCATAAAATAGTCCATAAGTTGATGGTGATGATTTATCATTTGAAAAGCCACTACTATGCTGTCTAAAATCATATTAATCTATTTTAAAAAGAAAATTATCTGCAGAAGAGCTGGAGAAGAGACGGAAGGAAATGATGGAGAATGCCAAATGGCGAGAAGAAGAAAGGAAAAACAATGTAGACAAACACAGAAAAGAAGAAGAAAGAGAGCGAGCTCTAGAAAAACTCCGCCAGTCCAATGGGAAGTTTATACAGTGAGTGGCCCTTTTCCTTCTAAAATTAGGGAAGAGCCATAGCTCAATTGGAACAGCATACATTGAACACAGAAGGTCCTGTTCAGTCTTCCTTAAAACACTCAAATGATCATTACACTTGATATAAAGCAGCAACATCCTACATCTCAATTTGATAGCCTGTGCTGCATGCTTGTTTCACCTACAAAAGTATTAGATATAAGGAGGAAATATTTTCCTTAACTTTTAACAGACGCATTTGGAAGTTTCATACTTTTGTTCAGGGTTTTTAAACCTCAACGACTTTAATGTGGATTTCAATTTCCAAAATTCCCTTGCAAGTATACTGGCTGGGAATCTGGGAATTGAAATCCACATATCTTAAAGTTGCTAAGGCTGAAAAGCAGTGATCTAGTTTCTCTACAGGTAGTCTTCAACTTATGACAATTGAGCCCAAAATCTCCATTGGTAAGCAAGATATTTGTGAAGTGAGTGTTGCTCCATTTTACAACCTTTCTTGCCATAGTTGCTAAGTGAATTGCAGCAATTTTTCAGTTAGTAACACAGTTGTTAAGTAAATCTGATTTCCTGCTTGTCAGAAGGTCACCAAAGGAGATTACATGACCCTAAGACACTGCAGCCGTCATAAATATAAGTCAGTTGCCAACCATCTGAATTTTGATCACATGACCATGGAGATGCTGCAATGGTCATGAGAAACCCAGTCATAAGTCACTTTTTTCAGTGAAGTAGTAACTTCGAAGAGAGATTAAATGAACTGTTGTAAGTTGAGGACTACCTGTATATGCATGTAGATGGTGCTTCTGCTGGAACAGCCAGTAAAGTGGCAAATGCAGACAGCTGGATGGAGACTTCAAAACAGTTCTGTGAATTTTCCAAAAGGTGGAGTTTCTTTAACAATTTGAGAGATGCTTCACTTTCAATAGAACCTCTTTTAAATAATTTGCAGAATTGCAATCATTTCCTCAGCATTTTCCAAAGTGCACTGATTGTGTATGAATTTGAGCCTAAACATATTAGAGCAGAACTATAATGTTTGTAAACTACTTTAGGATAATATGATCTTGCTAAGGATTAGGTAAAAATCTGGATATAAGGGAGAAACTACAGAGGCATAGAATTATTTTGAATACGAAGAGGAAAAGTTTTTTATGTGTAAAGAGTGATGCAGAAAATAATGCATGTGTAAATTAGACTTGAAAGAGTTCATGTTTTGCATTGCCCCTGTCCCAGATATTATGCAGAAGGGCATTTAGACAGTTTTTAAAAAATATTCTGTTAATTTCTCCTTTTGTTTTTGTTTTTTAGTGAGAAATGTTATATGGGATAAAATGGATGTTTTTCTAATTCCTAATGCCCTTCTTTATTTCTTTGACCTGCAGTAATATAAAATTGGAGAGTGCATCCACTTCTTCTCTTGAAGACAGGGTGAAGAGAAACATTCACTCTATCCAAAGGACACCAGCAGCCCTGGAAAAAAACTTCATGCATCGATGAAATTGTTTTGTATCCTATCACTGGCCGGCCCACTAAGGACTTACGTTGTTGTTGTTTGTTTGTTTTGTTTTTCTGTTTGTTTTTTTCCTGAGAACCAACTGACCATTCAAGAAATCTTCATAGGCCAGGTTATTTTTTCTTTGGTCTTTATAACACAGGAGAGTTCACTGTGATATTCTATTACAATGTTTTCAAATTAAGATACGTTAAAAATGTAGTTTGAGATACTCCTTTAGGCCAATTTGTTAGAAAGCTCGGCCTTTTTCTTTTATCATATAGTGTTATAAAAAGGTTATATGAGTTTTGCTCTTCTTCCCGCTGAAAGGAAAAATGGAATTAAAAAACAAGTAATTCTGTTATTTTTAGTGATATTACAAAGAAAAATTACAGAAGTTTTCATTGTCTAGTAATAATTCCTCTGCCTTTCATGTTCTGAAATATATACTTGGGTCCAGCCTAACTGGGCTTATGCTACTATTTTTCAGAGTTTCTTTCCTCTCTGGAATGGTTTACATCACTTTATTTGATACAAAATATATTGCTTACTGTAGAAGAAAATCCCTTTCCTAAAAGTAGAGAATAATTTTATTCTTTTTTTTATTGGAGACATTTTGTGTCTAAAACATATTCTATAAAGAGCAAAGTTTCTTAATAGGCAAAAGGGAACATACAGAACTTTAGGACAGCAATCTTTCATATATTCTTTTTTGATATGTAAATATTCATCTTTGTATGTGTAGCTAGCATTTAATATATGTAAATATCTTTATGTAGCCTTTTGATATTTTTGTGGTATTTTAAATATCTAGAAATGTATGTAATTTTTTACATTCTGCATTTTAAATTTACTGTACCTTGCAAGCTGTATCTTGCAAGCTGGGTAGCTTGCAAAGTACAGTAAAAATATCTATTATATATTTAAAAATTTAAAAACTATTAGATAAAAAGGGCATTAAAAGGCCTAGGAAAATATTTTAAACCTGGGGTCCTCAACCCCCGGGCCACAGCCCACGAGCTGTTCAGAACAAGGCAACAGAAATGGCAGGCGAGTGTATGCACACGCGTCCCCACTTGCATGAGCAATGGATGAGTGTGTGTGCATGTGCCTGCTGCTCACACTAATGGAGATGCACACATGTGCACACTGGCCCACTACTCACTGAATCATCCCCTTTTTCCCTGGCCAGTCTGCAAAGCTGGAAAACTGTTTTAAACTGTAATATGCCCTGTTAAATTTAGATAGCAATTTATTGATAATATGAACCTCCTCTGGAAAAAGTTGGATGAGTTGTTAATCAACAACAAATTGTTAACAACTTATTTGGAAGGATTTGTAAAAGGTGCCCCTTTAATGACTAACAGTATGATATTGAATGGAGTAAATGGGCCTAAAAGAAGCATGGAACTGAGTCCTGTAAGTTTTAATACACAGTTGCAAGCAGGTTGATCTGGGAAAGCAAAGTTTCTTTAGCGTGAGACTAATGTTAGACCAAAGAAGATCCCATTCATCACTCATAGAAACAATTCTAGATCAGTTGTGGTTTGAAAACTTGAGTTTAAAGGCTGCAACACAAGGAGTACTTTGCAGTAGTCCCTTTATGAGGCTACCAGTACATAATTCACCAAAAAATCTCTCATTCATGTAGAAATGAACCTCCTGCATCAGCCAAAGCTGATAAAAAGTTTGTGCCATTTATGTCTGCATTGGATTCAGGACAATCATATATAGCAAATCTATTTCTTAAGAAGAAAAAACAAACATATATAGTCTACAAATCTTTAAACATGCCTTCCAACTTTGATTCATTGTTTTACACCCAGTCTCTTACAACCTGAGGATGTATGTAGGCTATGGTGACTCAAGAGCACAGGAAATGACAAGTGTATGCATTATTGGCATATGCTGCTAGCAGTAGATGTAGCATATCAGTTCTGCTGCAGTTCTTTAGCAAGACATGTACAGTCAAGTGAAAAAGTATACCCTCTGACACCTGTGCTTTTGTGTATCAGGACATAGTAAAATCATGTGATCCTTAGCAGTTCTGAAAAATAAAGTAAATTTAACCTCAGATGAACACATAATATACTATACCATGTCGTCCTTTATTTTGCAAAAAGAAAGCCAAAGTGGAGAAGCCATCTGTAAAAAATTAACTATACTTATGATTCAAAAGCTTATAGAATCACCTTTAGCAACAATAACTTTAAGTAATAATTTTTTGTATCACTTTATCAGTTTCTCACATTGTTGTGGAGGAATTTTGGCCCACTCTTCTTTATATGACCTCAGTTCGTTGAAGTTTGTGAGTATATGTTTATGCACAACTTGTTTTAAATCTCACCATAGCATTTAATAAGATTGAGATCTGGACTTGCTTCTTTTTCAGCCATTTTGTGGTAATTTCCTAATGTCCTAATCGTTGTCCTGTTGAATGATCCAGTGTTGGCCATGTTTAAGCTGTTGGCCAGATGGCCTCCAATTTGACTCTGGAATATTTTGGTATACATTCATGGAAATTCATGGTTGAGTCATGGTTGTGGCTGCAAAATAAATCCAAATGATCACCCTCCAAGCTTGACAGTATGAGATGTTTGTGCTGATACTACCATTTGCTTTACACCAAACATGGTACTGTGTAGCATGACCAAACATTTCTACTGTGGTCTCATCTGTCCAAAGGACAGTATTCCAAAGGTCTTGTGATTTGTTCAGATGCAACCTAAGCCATGCTGCCATGCTCCTTTTAGCAAGAAGAGACTTTCTCTGGCACCTTCCAAACAAACCATAATTGTTTAGTCTTTCTAATTGTACTGCATCATGAACGTTAACATGTAACATGCTAACTGAGGCCTGTAGAGTTTGAGATGTAACTCTTGGACTTTTTGCAATTTCTCCAAGCATTGGATATGTCTAATCTTGGGATAAATTTGCTGGGGTATTCATTCCTGGGACAATTAACAGCTGTCTTGTTTTCTACTTGTGAATAATCTTCCTCATTATAGGAAGAGAGACTTTAAATTGTTTGCAAATGGCATTATAACCCACCCCAGACTGATGGGCAACAATTGCTCCTCTAGGATCACTGCTGATGTCTTTATTTGGCATTGTATTAACACACACCTCAATTCTGAGGATCGAACTCCTAAAACTTCGGATTTTATAGAGGGAGTCATGCTTGCTGATGATCAATTGATCAAGGGTACTTGATTAGCAGTACCTGATTGCTACTTAACCACTTCATACCTATGGAAATCCTACGGTGTACTTCATTTTTATACACGGCTTCTCCATTTAGTCTTTCTAAAATAAATAATAGGGTGTAATATGTCATGTGTTATTGTTCATCTGGTATTGCAGTCCTCAACCCCTGGGCTTTAGCCCACTACTAGGCTGCAGCCTGTTAAAAACCAGGCCACAGGAGAAATGAGCAAGTGTGTGCACATGAAGCTCCACTCGCGTGAGCAGAGGGCACTTGAGTGGAGGGTGCTTGCGCTCAGGCATGAAGTTCCATTCATGCAAGCAGCAGGCACTTGCACTTGTGCAAAGCTCCCCTCATGCATAGCTTCACACACAAGCACAAGTGCCCTCCACTCATGCGAACAAAGCTTTGCACACAAGTGCAAGCCCCCGCTAGTCACGTGAGTGGAAGGCACTTGTGCTTGTGTGCGAAACTGCACATGAGGCAAGCTTTGCACGTGAGTGCAAGTGCCTGCTGCTCGCGTGAATGGATTCACAATTTTAATGCTGACTTCTGCATTGATTTGCTTGTCAGAAGCCAGCTGTAAAGTGCATAAATGGCAATCATGACTGTGGAATGCAGCATCAGTTGTAAGTGTGTGAACTGGTCTTAAAATTACTTTTTCAGCACTTATCATAACTTTGAATGGTTGCTAAATAAGACAGCCCTTAAGTGAGGATGACCTGTTAACTGCTGGCAATTTAACTCCAAATTACAAATGATTCTTCACAATGGATTCATACAGACATTAACACGGATGAGAAAATGGAACCTTGTGGAATCTCCATTCATGACCATTTCAAAGTGGTCAAACAAAAATTACAATGTTGCTGTCTGTGTCCCCCAAAATAATGGAAACAACATAGGAATGTCTCCATGTCCCTAGTTTCTCAAATAGTCTAATGTTCTCAATGGCATCAAAATCTACAAAGAAATATAGCAGTAATAGAAGAGTAATACTTCCTGTCTCACTACAAATCATTCAACAGGACAGCCAAGGCAAATCTGGGAAAAGATCAAGATGATCCATTTCATTAAAAGCTCTTGGAGCTGTACTGTTTTCAACTGTTTCCTATTAGCTTCACTTTGAACAAAATATTGGTTATTGCCATGTAGGTGTTAAAATCATATGACTATAGTAAAGGCTTTTTAATCAATAGCCTCTTTCTTATAGGGCAATTTACCTGTAAAAGAGAAATAGTGGTCTGAATGACAACTGGAATGATTGAATTCTTCGTGACTTTCAAAGCTAAATTAGATAGGGGTCTAATGAAAATAAGTCACAATCAGACAGCAGGAGACAAGCCATGAAACTGATTCTACTGAATTAGTACACATCTTAAATAACTGCTCCTAAATGATGACATGAAGCCTAACAAGAAACTGAGTAATCTTGTTTGTTCATAATAAAACTCAGGAAATGTATGGGTGCCAGGCTGATTGGTGGAAATTGGGACCATTGCTTGTACAAGATTTGGATAGCTCCATGCAGATACAATCAGAGAGAAAAATGATTGTTTTTTTTCTTCCTAATTGCCTTGGCATGGGCTTTGTTTGTTAAATGTATTTGTATATATTGCAGTAGAGCTACTCTGTGTGGCTTACAACAATAAGGTGGAAAATGATTTTTAAAAATGTAAAAATGACAACAGTAAAGTAATGAATCCATAAAAATAAACAGTGAAAGTACAATATGAAAAAATGAACAGAGGAGCAGAAGGAAGTGCGGGGGGGAAGTGAGTCAGCTAGTTAGTCCAGCAACCACCTCCAGTGACAAATTCCTCTACTGGTTCCCTAGCCAACTAGCAAATCCATGTCTTCAGGCCCTTGTGGAAGGATAGGAGGAGAGGGTAACCTTATCTGGGGTCAGGATGTTACAGAGAGCCAGCACTACAGCAGAGTAGGCTCTTCTGAATCTTTTCAATTGGGAATTCTTTGACTGACAGGATCTTCAGCAGGCTTCCTCTACCAACACAAGTAGAGTGGCCTTCTCCAACACCTTGAACTGCACCCAGAAGCAAATGAGCATCTGTGCAGCTCATGAAGCAGTGGTGTAACATGGGTCATTCTATTTATGATTATGTCTTTACTATATCCGGTCAGATATATCTATGGACTGTCTCACAGTAGTCTCATCACTTCATATTTCATCTTCAGTTGCTTCCTCTTCTCTTTCCTTATATTCTTCCCAGCATTAGAAGGCCCTCCAAGGACCTTGCTCCCCATGTTTCTGCTTCAAGACCCTGTTTTGATACTGAACTCACGAGATCAGCAGAATGGGACAACTCACCACAGTTAATTCGC